CTAGCAACAACAAATATTGGTGAGGATGTGACAAAAAGGAAATCTACATTGTTGGTGAGAATGCAAACTGGTACACCCACTGTGGAAAGCTACTTGAAGGTTTCTCAAACAGGTAAGAATGAAGCTTCCATATGATCCAGCAATTCCACTTCAAAGTTTCTACCCAAAGCATACAAAAGCATTAATTCAAAAGGATACCTGCACCCCCATGTTTACTGCTGCACTATTTACAATAGGTAAGATGTGGAATCAACCCAAATGCCCAAAAATGAATGACTGGTTCAAGAAGATGTCATACATATGCACTATGGAATATTACTCAGCAATCAAAAATACAAATTCATGCCATTTGGGGCATCATATGGAGCTGGAAGGGATCATGCTTAATGAAATAAGCCAGAAAGAAAAAGAAAAACATCATGTGGTTTCACTCATTTTTTTTTCATCAGGAAAAAAAAAGTAATTGTAATAAAGTAAAAATGAAAATCAACAAACAACTATTAACCAGAGATATTCTATGGGGGACAGAGAGGGCAACAGGATCAAAACTGGGGTGGGAAGAGCACACAGGACTATGGTGATGACATATGGGTGAATTGGTGGTGGGAAGTCCATGGAGATTACAACTGTGATGAAAAAAATGTACAAAATGAAGAAAGATGTAAAAATACATTACACACACATACAAACACACATACACAAAATAACAAAAGAAAAAGAATGTCTTTTGTCCACAATATACTTCTATCTGGCTAGCCTTTGTTCCATTTATTTTAAGATTAAATTATTTCTTAATGGTAGAAGGTCATAACCTCTCAGTTACATGATATCTGTCTCTACTTTTTTTTCCCCTTGTGTGAGATGCCATCTGCTCTAAACAGAGAAGGTTTTGGTAGCTATAATTTATGATTACTGCAAGGCTATCACCATTTCCTAAATGTTGAACTCTTCAAACTTTTTCTGCTTAGTTTACTGTACTAGTTCAAAATCCACTTGCAATGATCAGAGCTGCTATTTGTGCCAACATAGTCTTTGCTTTTCTCATTTTTCAAAGGTAAAAATGTTATAGCTTGGTTATATATATAAAAAAAGTGCTCTACCTAAAACCCTGCAGTTTTAAAATAAAGATAATAATCAATAGTACCTCTCTTGAATGTCACTTTTCAAAAAAAATTTTTTTTTTAGTTTTAAAAATCTAAAATATATGTTTCATAATGAAATAAGGGATCCTTCCTGAGATATCTTCAACCAATTTCTTTAAAACAAACAAACTATACTAATGCCAAGATTATGCAATAATGAGATCTTTAAAAGTGTACCCCTTACATACACAAAGGGGAAATCTCTCCAGAGAGCTGTACAAATCACACCAAGCTGAGCATATTTTAGAATTATCTATTATTTAATTTTATACAAAGAGGTCATTATAGTTTCTTGAATAAAACTACTTTTTACTATTTACTAAATACAAATTTACTTAATAAATGTTAGTGGATCTAAAAAAATCAATCAATTATTTTAATTACAAGGACACATAAGGGATACATATTCATACCAATGTTTCTTAAACTTCTAACATAAGTAGGAGAAATTATGAGGGCATTTAAAGGGAAAGAATTAAAAACCAAGATACTTTAAGAGGAGTTTGCTTTGTTATTCCACAAATAAGTTACAGCAAAAGTTGTGTTTTTAGAAATTAAAAGAGGTAGTGGCATAGGGACATTTATATAGATTAATAGAACTGTAAGTACAGAAATAAGTCCAAACATTTATGGTTAACTGATGTTTGACAAAGGGGTCAATATAATAAAGAAAGCCCTGGGTCAACTAGGATAAAAGAATGAGTATCTATATGCAACCTGTCCTTATACCAGATACAAAATTAATTCAAAGTAGATGCTAGATATAAATTTAAGAATCAAAACTGTAAAATTTTTTGGAGAAAACACAGGTATTAATCTTTTTTACCCAGATTAGACAAACTCTTGAGTAAAACACCAAAAAAGAATAGTACTAAAAAAGGGATATGTGGGACTGACTGGTTAAGAACTTTTGCACTTCAAAGGACATCATCAATAAAGACAACTCATACAGTATGTGACAACATTTTTAAATCATATTAATATGACACATGTATTAAGAATACAAAAGTTTTACAATAGTTAAAAAAGAGACAAATCAAACCAAAAATGGTCAACAAGTTTGAATAGATATTGCTCCAAGAAAGATAAACTAATTTTTTCAATAAGTATGTGTGGCAGTGTACTTCATCAACCTGCCTGTTCTGCTCCCCACTCTGTCTCTGGTGAATCCTCTTACTGCCCTTGTACCTCTGAACTGTACCCAGTTCTCTATGCATGAATAAATTAGCCTTAAGTAAATTTTAAATCTTAAAAAAAAAAAATTCTTCTGAGTGTTCAACCACAAAGATACCATATAACTCAGTAAGAATAAAATTCCATACCATACCAAAGAAAAATAAAAACACATGACCACATAAAAAATTGTGAACAAATATTTACAATAACATTATTCGCAATAGTCAAATGGCAGGAACAAGATAATGTCAATCAACTGACTAATGACTAAATAAAATGACATATCTATACAATGAAATAGAACATACAATGACATATAACTTGACACAGAAAGGGATAAAGTATTGATGTGTGCTATATCCCCTAGATACTAAGAAAATAAATGAAAGTCAGACACAAAGACCACATATTGTATGATTCCACTTAGATAAAATATCCAGAATTTATATTTAGTATCCAGAATAGGCAAAATTTATAGAGAAATGAAGTAGACTAGTTGCTGCTGAGGCCTGGGAAAGGGAGAAAGAAGACAATAGCACTAGTTCTATTGAGTCCAAGATTTCTTAAGGGGAGGACAAAATATTCTAAAATCAAGTTAATAATGGTTACACAATTCTGTAAATATACCAAAAACTATTAAACTGTATCCTTTAAATAGTGAACTTTATGGTTGTAAAATATATTTCAATTAACGGTATTAAAACCTAGAAGAGATGAAAATATCACTTAATAGACTAATTTATTAAGAACGCAAACCAGCAGAGAAAAAAATTCCAACCTTCAGAACTTGAGTCCTACACTCAGCCATCACATACACCTTAGGTAATCTCTAACATGATCTTTCATACCAATACCTCAAGAAATAGGGGACAGCTTCAAAACCTTCAACTCTGAAAATGGAACTGGAACTCAAAACCACATCCTATACTAGGGAAACACTTAGTGATTTATGAATATTTCAAGTTACTGATATTTTATGAGGGATTGTTATTAAGAAGGCAGAAGAAATCTCAGAAACAGACTGATTCTCCTATCAAGTCTTCAGATGTCTGAAACCCCAGGCAAAACCTAGACTGAAAACACCTATGTCAGAAATACTCTGCAGTTTAAAAAATATCCCTGGTTAATAAAAATAGCAAAAAATTAACCTGAAAATTCCAAAAGTAGATTCTTTAATTTTAGAATTTACTGTATTTATAAGCAAACATGTAAATGTACAAAATGACTATTTACCTCTCTCATTTTTTAAACAGCAGTAAGAGAATAAAATATTAGGAACATGTCAGTAATAAATAGCTAGCCTTTATCAAAGCTAGCCTTTATCAAGGGATTTTCCACAAGGACCAAAAAACACTTGTTTAATTGTTGTTTTGTTATTTTTAAATGCTACTTTTCTTTTGTGACAAGAACAGTATTTTGAAGTGCTGGATGGCTTCTTGCCCTACATCTATGATACTCTTAAAATATCTGATAATCCAAAGAAATATCAGAGAGAGAAGCATGGAGGTCACAAGAGATACAAGAAATAAGGAGTCACATGCTTAGCACCCTAAAATGGACAGTGTAGAAAGAGGAGCTGTCCCATCAGAGATAATGGACCAACAAACAATTTCACTATGTGTTTCCTCATTCTCCTAATGATCGAGTGTTAAAAACATTTAAGGATAAACTAAAAAGCAAAGAGAACCCCCCTCAAAGGCTTCATGTAGATATATAAGGTTTACCTTCTTCCCTCCAGTCACAAACTGCTTGCAGCTGGATCTCACAAAATGAGGGTGCACAGCGACGATCTACAAGGAAACAAGGACAGATGACATTAGTTTAAGATTTGGGTTAACACAAAGAATGAAAACCTTTGTACATTACAGGTGACATGATCTAAAAATTATTCTGCCTTCTTAGTGGGAACAATTCCAGTAGTATTCTACACGAAATGAGGACATCTGAGTTTTCCTCTTGTGTGAAAAGATGTCTTTTACGAAGGCAAGTCAAAGCTTAAAGATGAAAATGAATTAGTTGTAGTTTCTGGCTGAGTGGGGTCCTTTTGATGGGACCCTCTAAATGGGCATCCCCTCCTGAGACACAGCAAGGGAAGTCAAACAAGACATCAAGATGTCACAAATGTTTCTAACTGAATACAAAAATCAGAGAAGCAGCTCAGAGAAAGAACCCATTTTCCAATGACTGAGTGCACCAAGGAGAACAGGCAGGGCTATACAGCTTCACAGACACCCCAGTGGGAAAGAAAACACAGCTGTAGGACCGAAGAGTTATAGGGCTAATGGCTCACGACCTTCCCTTTTATCTACAGCTTCAGTTCTGAGTCATCTGATTATCTTCACTTTCCACTCAATCTTCTCCCAACGCCCTACACCTATTTCTCCCAAGGGTGCTCCATCTTCACTGTTGTTTACTTCATTTGTCAGTATCTTATGGGAGGTCTAGTGGCTCCACTCAGTGCATGCCCACATTTGGGGCTCCCCTTTTATGATTATAAGTCTGCACATGCTCTGTCTCTTTATCTTTTTATCTACAAACCCACGTAATTATTGACTAATACAAATTTTTTTCTAGCCAGGAACACTGTTTGTAGGAAAATTATAGAATTGTAAAAATATATAAATATTTAACAATACAATATTAAAAAAAAACACATAATGACACCCATAAACCTTCAATCCAATACATGTTACATTCTTATTAATTAATTAGTACATTTCTATTCTCCCAAGGAACATGTTCCTCTTCCTGTACTGCCAAGTTTAGGGATCTAAGGATATGACTCCTTGTTTCTTTAAACATCTTCCATTCCAAGTTAGCCTTTCTTGCCTTTAACACTTTCTTAACCCACCCTAGATACCAACATCAAATTGTATCTATGTATTCTGTTGTTACCATAAATTTTTAAAATCTTTCATAAGAGTCTTAACTCTCTTATGTTTAACTCTAGAAAGCCACTGTTAATTCTGGAGCACCACTGATATCCCTCTATCACATGAACTGTTCCCTGTCACCTCTTCAGCTATAAGAAAAAACTGTGAGGGTCACTGCTTTTCACTGCTGTTTCCAATTTAGTAAGACTGGGCTTGGACTCACAGGCAGAGGCTGTGAGACTCTACCAAGGATATATGGAATCCGTTCCTTAGTGCCACTCCACCAATACTCCCTTTCATTTTCAATCTTCCCTCCCCTACTGACTTTTCATCACCAACCAAAACATGACCTGCAGAAATCTCCAGACACTGCCATCTCTCTGTCTCCCACAGACCCTCCCTTCCTCATCACCGAATTTCTTGAAAGAAGAATCTACACTGTTTTTTCTCATACCTCATTCTCCAGCTGACTTCTTGGTCAGATGACCCTACTGCTCTTGCAACCTGTCCTCATAGAGGTTGCCAGAGCCTTCATAATTATCAAATAAAAGGGCTTGTTTCAGTCCTTGCCCCATGTAATCTCCACTTTGTGTCTGAAAGCCCTCCCTCCCTTTCCCAGCACCACAGTTCCAGATCCCCTGCACCCCTTTGATTCTTCTTAGACCCCTTGCTGCATTCTCTTCCACTGCCTGAATCTTTAAATTAGTGTCCCAAAATTTCAGCATCAATCTTCTCTCTTTAACTTTAGCTGAGTGTCTTTTTAAATGATTTTTTCTTATTCAACTCTGGCTGTGAATTTGTGTTTTCGGAACCACTGCCTATCCTTAAGTCCACACTCATATTTCCAAAACCTCCGGAACATTTCCACCAGATGTACTACAGTCCTCCAACTCAATGAGCAACATCATTTGCAAAGATTCTCTTTGCAACTAATGGCATTCCAACATACCTTTATGAGCAAAAGTAAGAACCTAGTTTTATCCTCTGTTCATTCACTTTTTATCACTTTCATTCAAGCTTATTACCAAGACTTGTTAGGTCTATTTCACAAAGGCCTTCCAAAACCATTTCCTCTATTCCACCTTGAATCCTTTTTTTTTTTTAATTGAGAGCCTGTAATGCACTGCCAAAAGTACTGCATTAGCCTTCTCAATTGTCTCTTATTCCCACTTTCCTGCTTAAATTACTCTCCATTTGGGCAGATTTAGCTTTCTAAAACACATATCAGGTTCTATTACTTCTTCACCTGTTAATCAATAAATGCTTGAATAAACAAGTGAAAAAATGGAATGACCTCTTCCTTCCTTTAGCAACTAATAGTCACTTTAACTGCTACACACTATCTAAAACCGGTTCTCCTGCTCAGCCTTCCAATCTATACTGTATATAGTTCTGTGTTAATTTGCATATGTCATGTCTTTGCTCTTAACATTCAATAATTTCTCCTTATCTAGTAGAAGAGTCCAAATTCCCCAGCCTGACTATAAAGCCAACCGATCTGCTTCCAGATGCAACTCTCCGGACAAGCCAGTATTTTAAGCACCGTCTAAACTAGACTAATGCCATTTCCTAAATAACAACTTAAACTTTTTAGCCTCTTTACTTCTACTATATTGTTCTTCCACCTGGAAGTCAGTTTCTTCATCTGCCCTGTCCATTTATTAAAGCCTGGTCAAATGTCACCCCATCTATGAAGTCATCATTAATAAGAATGACTAGAAGTGACTTCTCTCAGCTTTGAATACCTGACCATTGCTTCTACTACTGAGTCTGTAGTTACAGATTTTCTGTTTGTGTGTTTATTTACATTTCACCCATTACAGTAAGATTCACAATGTACCTTGCATACTTTGTACCCTACTCGGATTTCAATAGTGTTTACTGTGCTATCAGTGCTGAATACATGCTTAATGAAAAACTTAATGCAAGACTGGCAGAGTTCAAAGTATTGTAATTCTTACCACCTTCATTGAAAAAAAATCACAACTTACTGAATACTTACTTTAATGGGACAGTCGAAAGTCTCATGAAATTCTTCTCCAGAGTACAGCCCAAACACTTGCACCTAAAAAGCAAATGGAGCCTGTAAGTTCTCTATGACAACAAAGAAGATTGATGAGTCAGTGAGAACATGAACTGTCATTAAAAACAAACATTTAATAGTCTAAGGCCCTTGTGATCTCTATCAGATACCTAATGAAAGAACTTCCATCAGAATGAGAGTAAGCTGCTATCCTTGAGTTTTTATTTGTTATATTATGATTTATAATTTAATTTTGATTTTATTGAGGTAACATTGCAATTGGACTTTTATAAGCATCTCACAGATAAGAGTTCCCTTTACACATCACAAATTGGTTTTATTAAATGAATGCTAATTTTAAAAAAATGAAAAAGGTATCAAAAGGCTATTAATATTTTTTTACGAACATCCCATATGCTATCTCTAAAGGAATTATTTTTCCTCCTCTTAAAGGAAAAAGAAGCTTCTATTTGTAGTCAGACATACGGACTTCATTTTCAATCTTATGCTGACTCTGTTAAGAGTATGTAAATGTAAGATTTAAGCTATTATTTACCATGCCCACCTTCGGGTTGCAACAGGCTACTTCATCCATACTTAAATCATCCATACTTAAATTTATTTATACATACAAGAACTGGGTATGTGTAGGACAAAAGTGTGGGGTCGGGTTGGGGGTGAAAGGATTCACCTGAGACAGAGCGGGAAGCAGAACAGGTAGACTGACTGAAATACACTGCTGTGGGGAGCAGCAGAGGAGGCAGGAGAGGTCTGCTGGGCCATGTGTGTCAGCTCCCTGGCTGGCAGGGGATTGAATTCATGCTGCAGTGCTGGCAATAGCTTGATAATACTGTCTATGGCCCCTGAGCAAGTAGGGAGGCCTCCAATGCTGAATCTTTTTCCTGAGTAATTTAGTTTAAAAAATGGAATAATGTTCATATTGTACAGGGTACAAGTCATAAGTTACAATTGGACAATGGTTTATATGAATAAATTCTAGCAACCACCACCCAGATCAAGAAATAAATCCAAGAAGCTTTTTCATATTCCATCCCAGTTAATAATAGCCTCGCAAACTAATAGCTACTCTGAAATCTACTGCCATAGATAAGTTGTGCAGGAGTCTGAATTTTATACAAATAAATCACATTCTATTTCACTGGCTTTCTTCACTCAATATTTTCTTTTGTTTTTCTTAGTTTTTTCATTTAACTGAGGTAACAGTAGTATCCTTCCCATTAGATATCACCACCACAGAATACCTGCCACCAAATCACCCACATTTCACCACCAGAATTCACTGTGCATTTCCTTTTAGTTCTTACACTTCTCTTACCCCATCTCTCTCTGGGTGCTTCAATTCTATAATCAACTTTCAAGGGATAGTGTCTAAAATATTCTTAAATCCTTTGACTGGTTTCTTTGTATTCCACATATTAGTGACACAATTCCGTACTTACCTTTCTCTTTCTGAATAATTTCACTTAGCATTATCCCTTCCAACTCCACTTATGTTGCTGCAAATGGCATAGGCTTATCTTTTTGATTATTTAGTAATATTCCATTGCAATGGAATATCTAGCTAGATACAGACCAACTGATTGATGGATCAATCAATAGATAGGCCAAATCTTGATCCAGTCATCTGTTTTGGGGCAAAACAGGTTGTTTCCATATCTAGGCTATTGTAAATAGGATTGCTATGAAAATAAAGGTGAAAATTTCCTTCTAAATTGATGTTTTCCTATTTTGAGGGTAAAGACCTAGGAATGTAATTGCTTAGTTAAATGGTAGATCCGTTTTTTGTGTGTTTTGAAAAACCTCCACACTACTTTCTTCAGTACTTTCTTTCATCAATCTACATGACCACCAACACTAGTAAGAGGGTTCCCTATTCTTCACAATTTTGCCAGTACTTGTTTCTAGTTGTTTTCACCTGGATCATTCTTATTGGTGTAAGAAGATATCTCACTATGGTTTTGACTTGCATTTCCCTGACGACATGTGATGATGAACTTTTTTTAATGTGCCTACTGGCCACCTGTATGCTTTTTCATAGAAATGTCTATCTCACTACACTGCCCTTTTTTTCCAGTGGGTTATTTTCTCTTGAATTGTATGAGCTCTCTGTAGACCTTTGATATCAGTCCCTTGTCAAATTTCCTCCCATTCCACAAGGTGTCTCCTTCTTTTAGCTATGGTCCTTTTCACTGTGCAGAAACTTTTAATTTTATGTAGTCCCACTTGTTTATAATCTTTTGTTCCCCTTGCTGCTGGGAATGGATTCATAAAGATATCTCTGAAGTTTATGTTCTGGAGTGTTTTGCTGTTTCAGATCTTGCATTCAAGTCTTTTATACATTTTGTGTGTATGGTGTGACACTATGATCTAGTTTCATTCTTTGGTATGTGGCTGTCCAGTTTCCCCAATACCATTTGCTGAAGATACTCTTCTTTCTTCAATGTATATACTCTTGACTCCTCTGTCATAGAGTAGCTGTCCATAAAGCTGATTTTCTGTGCTTTCAATTCTATTCCACTGGTGTGTGTGTCTTGCCTTATTCCAGTATCATAGTTTTACTTATTATGGCTTCATCGCATAAATTTAAGTCTGGTATATAATACCACAATTTCCCCTTTTCTGTCAGGATAGCTTTAGATATTTGGAGTCTTTTGTAGTCTACATGAATTTCAGTAATGTTTATTACATTTCTTTAAAGAATGTCATTGAAAATTTTATTGTAATTGCATTCAATCTATAGATTGGTTTGGGTAGGATGGCCATTTTGACAATGTTGATTATTCTAAATCATGAGCAGGGAATCTTTCCATTTCTTTATGTCTTCTGCTATTTTCTTTAACACTGTCTTATAGTTTTCCTTAGAGTAAACTTCCTTTTGGGTTTACTGCTGGTATTTATATTTTTTGATTGTATGAAATTCATGTGAGTGGGGTGGTTTTCTTAATTTGTTCCTCTTTTAGCTCACTGTTTGCAAATGATTTTGTGTATTGACTCATAACTTGCCACTTTTGTGCCCTGGTTCATGAATTAATTTTCCATAGAGTCTTGAGTGCTCTATACACATATACCATGCATATCTATACATAGAATCATGTTATCTGCAAATACTGATAGTTTTAATTCCTCTTTCCCAATGTGGATTTCATGTCTTTTTCTTGCCTGATTGCACTAGCTAGGACCTCCAATACTACATTGTATAGTGTTGAGAGTGAGCATCCTTGCTTGTACCAGACCTAGTGGAAAAGCTTACAATTTTCCCCATTGAGAATGATGCCAGTTATTTGTTTGTTATATATTACATTTATTAAGTTGAGACAATTTCCATTCATCCCGTTTTTCAAGGATTCAAACACTTCTTGGCATCCATAGATATGATCAGGCATTTCCCCCCCTCTTTTTTGACGTGGTAAATTACAATGATTTTTAAGATGCTGTCCAATCCCTGAGTACCTGACATGATTCCTTCTCAGTCACAGAGTATGATCCTTTTAATGCATTACTAGATTCAGCTTGCTAAGATTTTGTTGAGGATTTCTGAAAACAGTGTGGAATCATATTCATTACAGAAATTGTTCTGTAATTTTCCTTTTGTGTGTGTGTTGTCTTTGGCTTTGATAGCAGAGTAGCTTTGCCCTCATAAAATGTATTTTGAAATGTTTTGAAATGTTCCTTTTTCAAGTTTTTGGGACAATCTGAGCAGGACAGGTATTGTATCTTCGAAGGTTTGGTAGAATTCACTTGTGAAGCCATCTGGTTCTGGACTTTTGTTTGTTTGGAGAGTTTTGATTAGATTTCAGTGTCCTTGCTTATAAATCCTGTTCAGGATTTCTATTTTATTCCTAGTGAGTTTTGTATTATTGTATAATTCTAAGAATTGGTCCATCTCTTCTAGGTTATTGAATATGTTAGTCTATAAAATCTCATCATATTCTCTAATTATCCTCTGCATTTCTACAGTGTTGGTTGCAATTTCTCATTTGTTTTTGATCCTATTTATCTGAAATCTCTCCCTTGTTTTCTTTTTAACCTGGCAGAGATTTTTCTATTTTGTTTACTTTTTTAAGAACCAGCTTCTGGTTTTGTTAATCTTTTAGACTTCTAAAATTTCTATTTCATTTATTTCTGTGAGACTTATTGGTATTGTTGCAGATAGTGATAATCTGGTTCTTAGTCACTGCATGTAGTATTTCAGTGTATGACACCGACTTGGTTTATACATCCATCTTCTAGTGATCTTTCGGTCTGTTTCCAGATTAGGGCTGGTATGAATGCTGCAATGTACATTCTTCACAAATCTTTTGGTGGATATATATATATATATATATATATATATATATTCACAGTTATGAAGTGTATAGAATTAGGACTGAACCATCGAGTCATAGAATTTGCTGCACCCTATCATATTTATTAGACAGCTAAACTATCTCACAAAACACTTTTGACAAATTTGCGTTCATACCAACAAAGCATAAGAATTCCACAAACTAGGGTCACTCCGAATCATTTGCCAATACATGGGGTTAAGTAAACTCTTTTTCTTGTCTTTAGAAAAGTGGTATGTTTTTCTTTAAATTTTATAGGAATTCCCTAATAATGTCACCTTAGTCTAACAGCTTCTTAGTGAGGTTTTAAATTACCAATTCAATCTTTAAAAACAGGCACAAGGGGCCCTCCCAGGTGGCACAGCAGGTTAAAGCACTGCACCAAGAAGCTAAAGCTGCTTCTGTAAGAGTTTGATCCCTGCCTGCCCCTGAGGTGAACCATATGGACTAGCAGACCTCTCCTGATCCACCTGCTGCTCCCCTCAGCAGTGTACTTCCACAGTCTGCCTGTTCTGCTCCCCACTCTGTCTCTGGTGAATTCTCTCACCACCCCTGCACCTCTGGCCTGTACCCCAGTTCTATATGCACAAATATATCTTTAAAAAATATATAGACACAAAACTATTCAGATTTTCAAACTCTTTTTTTAATCTTGGAAAATTATGAGTAAAAGTTCACTTTGACAAGTCCAAAGAA